GTTATTTATTTCATTTGAAAGTCAGCATTACAGAGAGAGAGGAGAGACAGAGAGAGAGAGATGTTCCATTCACTGGTTCACTCCCCAAATGGCTGCAACAGCCAGTGCCAAGCCAGGCCAAAGCCAGGAGCCAGGAGCCAGGAACTTCACCCAGGCCTTCCATGTGGGTAGTAGGGGCTCTAGTAGTAGGCCATCTAACGCTGTTTTTCCCAGGCCGTTTAGCAGGCAGTTGGATCAGAAGTGGAGCAGCTGAGATACAAATCAACACTCATATGGGATGCTGGCATTTCCGGTGGCAGTTTTACCAGCTAGTCCACAGTGCTGACCCCTTGGCAGTAATTTTTTTAAGATGTTGAATTAAAGTAAGAGTACTGCTTAATATTAATTCCTGAGATTGTGGTGGCCCCTTAAATTTGTGCCTATAGCAAGAGCCTCACTTTACTAACCCTAGAATTCCTTCCTTCCTTCCTTCCTTCCTTCCTTCCTTCCTTCCTTCCTTCCTTCCTTCCTTCCTTCCTATCTTTCTTTCTTTCTTTCTTTCTTTCTTTCTTTCTTTCTTTCTTTCTTTCTTTCTTTCTCTCTCTCTCTCTCTCTCTCTCTCTCTTTCTCTCTCTCTCTCTTATCTTTTATCATTTATATAACTTTCTACCTACTTATCTAGGTATCTTTTTTGTAAATTGTTAATCATATCTGACTTTACCTTTTCATCTTATAGTTGAGGCCCATTCTTTCTTCCTTTCCTATATTCCTAGCAAAGTTAAACAATAGATAATTACAGTATTTCCCTGTGAGCATCTTCTCATATTTTTAAGACATCTTTCAATCTAGGTTGATTAACCTCAGAAAGCTTTGCTTTTCCATATTTTGACTTTCCAGTTTTGTGACTCCAAGATAAATTTTCTTCAGATTTCTCAAGCCATTTGATACCTGAGGAAAGATACAATCATATTTTTCCAAATTTTGTATCCTCATGCTGTATTTGTTTTTAAAAAGACTGTCAGGACTATTTTTGTTTCCTGTTCAATCTTTCCCTGGAGTTAGGAGTAAGTCATTGACAGAGGACTTGGATGGTGATGAAAGGTGGTATACATGTGTAATATGTGCATATGTTGGAGCAGAACATAACAGATAATTGTCCTATGAATATTATGCAAAACATGTTAGATTTTGGAGTGAAGCCAATTCTTTGTCTGCAAGATGAGACTGTGTGTTTTTGAGAAGGTAAGGACCATGTAAGTTTAAAAATGTTAAAATCAATATGATACTGGTCTCAACACACACTGTTACCTTCTTCCTCTGAAGTTTCAGAGATGCAAGTCCACCATATTCAACACTAGAAAGTTTGAGTTTGGATGAGAAAAGAAGGACTTTGGCTCTAACCAGAAAGTAAGAATCTGTGTCAGAATTTCTAAATAACTTTTACTGTTATATTCTTGAATTTTCTCTTCTTCACTTAGCAAAATTTGTTCTTTATTACTCTACTCTTACCTTGTGAAACATTATTTTAGTTGTAGCTGATTGCTTTGGCAGTTTACTCTGTTGTTTTGTATTTCGCTTTTCTATTCCTAGGAATCTGGCCTTGCCCCTTTACCCTTCAGAGCTTAATAAGAACCTTCTCTCTGTTGAAGCCTTTAGGTCACCAATAGAAATGTTAAACAGCCATGGACTCAGAACTGACCCTGGAGGAACCATGGCACCATTTGTTGTGTGTCCCTAGGTTGACACTGATGCATTGATAACCTCTCTCTGGGCCTGACTCTCCAGCTGGTTTTCCACTCACCTCATAACTGAGTAGCTCAGACCTTGTTTTTCCACTTAATTGATGTGTGTGTTGTGTGCGGAAGAATCAAAGACACTGCTAGAACTTAAGATTGATTATATCGCTGGTTTCCTTTGGTCAACCAGAACTCCCACAAGGATATGCTTCTGGTCAGACTAGACATATTCTTGTCAGAGCCAGGATGGTTTTCTTATCAAAGTGTTTACTATTTTATGCTGTGATTATTTCTCCAATATACTTTTTTGTCAAAATCCTGTTTAAATTCTTCTAGACTATTTGTAATCACCTATAAAGTAAGTGCAAAATTCAGAATAGCTTTCAACTTTTCTCCTAAGGACGAAAAAGAGAATCTTTCTTTTAATGTATTAAACCAAAAGCCACAGAGTTAGGGGATAAAATTGTTCAGAAGAAAACAAAGAAATCAGTGCTTTCCAGTGAACTTTATGGAATTTGTCTATGTCATTTCTCTCTTCCTTTTCTTCTATTCTTTCCTGAACTTGGCATATATTCTGTTAGTCATTCAAGTAAGAAATCACCCCATTTTGAGAGCTATAACTTCATCTTGTTCATTAATGTCTCTGCCTTAGGGTACAAAGCACGGGTGCATCAATGTCTACCTGCAGGTATAATAAAAATAGATGTATCACACAGAGATGGATCATTTGTCTAGTTTATAGGGAATTCCTTTCTGTGCCGGGGGAATTTAAGTATTCACTTGAAAGGATCAGCCATGGCAGCGAGGCTTCTGCTGTTCTTCATTCACCACAAAGCAGTAATTCAATTAATTTATTACTTTGAAAGATTTTGACACAACAGTGGTGTACATGACCTACTCATGTAGAGAACAGATGAAAATGCTGTGTTGGTGAAAGTCTTCCATCTCCTTAATGAGATGTGATACTGTTTAGGGCATTCTAAGGCATAAGAATATGTTGAAAATTCAAACTGAAAGGAAAGGGATGGAAAAAAGAATTTGGTAGATGAGATACCCCACAATATATTTGTCACGATTTCCAGTTGTGAAAGGATGAAATCTGCTTTTATCTTTGGAAGGCAAAGCTTTACCTTTGTCAATTTTAAGGAGACGACTATACAGTAACTTTCCTAGATTTTTATATTTTTATTCTTTTGAATAAAAGATGTCACAGAAACATAACTGATAATGCTGTATGCAAGATGGATGCAAACTTCTCATGAATATTTTAGTATAGGCATTGAATTCCATGCTGATGAATTGTCCACTCCTGTTCTATGCTGAGGAGTCCATGAAGAACTGGTGATGGCAACTAAGAGGAAGGAGCCTTTGCCCCTGTCACCATGGAGCTTCCTGTGTAGTTCTGGGATGGCAAAGACACTCAAGATGAGGCCCTCTACTGTCAGTCACACTGCTGGTCAGAAATGAAAGAAAAACATGGCATCAACTCAACTCACCCTTTGTCCTAACAGATCTTTACTTCTCTCTATTGTTAGTGAGCAAGTCTATTTCCCTCATTGGGTTCTAAGTTCCCTTAAGGCATAGTGTTTGAAATGAACCCATAAATAAAAACGAAAATAAAATACACTGAAGGCAAAATAAATATGAGTTCAAAAGAAACTGAAACATTTAACATAAAATCTAAAGTTCAGGGCTAGCAGAATTTTATTTTTTTTGGTAGTTCATGCATTGCACAAGGGTTCTATTCTTTTGAATAAAAGATATCAACAGAAACATAATTGAAAATACAGAAAGCAAGATGGATGCAAACTTTTCATGAGTATTTCAGAATATGCGGATTGAACTCCAGGCTGTACTTTGCTACCAAGCCTATGCCTATGGTGCTGAATCTGCCTTCTTTAAAAGATATTACTCCCTCTCCTAGCGTGCCCACAGCTGGACATTGCCTTTAAGGTATGAATTTTAAGTATTCGTTAAGAAGAGAGACTAAGAATGATCTGTAATTTGTTTTAAAATCCCCAGTTCAGTAATTCTAAGCCAGATGGTGTGGGACACAAACATGACAAAGCCACAAAAGAGAATGGAAGCAGGTCTAAGAGCAAATAATTTCCTTTTACCATACTCACTAACGGTCCCACAAATTTTCTGAGGAAAAATAGTATCAGAAATTTATAACTAAAGTAGATACCTGCTTTTCACTCATAAGTTCCTTGATAGAGAATGGTAAATATAGTTCTAGTAACTAATTAGTAAACTGATTGCAGTTCACATCCATAGTGTGGATTCTCATTTTCACTGGTGACTTTTATTTTTATGATCTCAAATTAAAAATAAGCAAGCAATAAAAAACCAACTCCAAGAATTGTTAGAGAAGACGATTGCACCAAAAGAACTCCACCTGATACTGACAATCATGATTCAGGTGTCCTGGTGGCTAGACCTAGTCAGCAGAACCACATCTGGCTTGTGTATCCTGTTAGGGAAGCTGGCACTCCTGCCAGTTACTATTAACACAACCATAGATGATAAGATAGGCACCCCTACAAACAATGGGGGAGCCTTCCCTGGAGACAATAGGTTTGGAATAGCAGTTAAGAAGAGAAAGCCACCTTCAGACAAAAGAGAAAGGTATTTCAGGGAGAGGTTGCATGCTGGAGGTTGACAGCAGAAGTTTGGCTACTGTGTGTTTTTAATTTGGCAAGAGAAAGTTTGTGGAGCTATGGAGATGATACACTTAATCAAAACTTAATTGGTAGAGTGTCGCTCCCCGTCTTCGTGGAGGAACGACACAGGACCCTGCGCTGTTCTTTTGTCTGCTCGGCCCTCCCCAGGTTTGCTGCTGGTTCTTCCCGGGTTGGCTACCGTCCCTCCACCTCCGTGGAGGGGCGGGCCCCCTGCCACCTTCCCCACTTCCACGGGGGAGCGGCACACCGCCGGCCGGCTCTCTCGGGGGCTGCACAGGTGTTCCTTCAGATGTTCCCCTTAGATGTTCCTGGTGCATGTTGTCTCTCTCCTCCTTTATAGTCCTCTTCCACCAATCCCAACTCGGCTGCCCACACGCCAAGTACGCTGCTCTCCTCCAATCAGGAGCAGGTCCTACAGTTTATTGGTTGAACTGGAGGCAGCTGTGTAGAAGCTGTTTCTCCCTTCTCAGCGCCATATTGTGGGAGAGCAGATGTATAGAATAAGTCTTAATTCCAGTAACAGTATAGTCCGAGTTGCTCCCCACAGTAGAGCACTTAATGTTTTAGTCAACAGCTTTATTCTTTTCTGTGTTCTTCCTAGCCCTCCAAAGCTGTTGCGCTCATGAAGATATCACTTTGGAAGAAAGAATAATTGCATTGAATGAGAGTATACAGGACACTCTTGAAGTATGTATCATGGTGTTTAATCATGATATTGTGAGTAATTGGGAATATAAAGGTTCTTTCAAAATGCTTGCTTGGTCTTTATGAACCTTCCTGGATATAGCATCATAAAACTGACCCCAAGCGATTTGCAGGATCCATCATTTGTGTTTTATAAGATGAATACTGAATAAATACCATAGCATGCAGATACGCATCATATAAACAAAATGGGTGAAATTCTGTTTTTTAAAATGTGTAAAATGCTTAATATAATAAAAGTTCAGTATTATAAATGCAATAAGTAAAAAATACTTTTGTAATCATATTTTTAACTTTTTTATTTATATGAAAAGTACAAATTCCATGTATTTCTTAAATACAGTTTTAAGAGCATAATGATACTTTGTATTGTACCCTCCATCCCTGCCTCTCTCCCACCCTTCCTCCTCCTTCTTTTATTAATTTTTCTTTTAGTTCTTATACTGACATGCTTCCAATTTTCTTTTTAATCACAGGCTTATATGCTTAGTGAAATAAGCCAGTCCCAAAAAGACAAATATCACTTTTTCCTTGATTTGTGGTAACTAATATAGAGTATAAAAATGTATTGTATAAAAAAACAAATCAACAACTTGAGATCTGATTATTGTGTGTAGCCCTTGTCTACACTCTTGAGCCACAGTGATTTTTATACTTACTACTTGTTGAATTCTTTATTTAATGGCAAGTTAAGCTTGTAATCATATTTTTGGGTTTAGCGAATCTTACCAAGAACAAAATCATAAACTTACTCCTCTGAACTCTTTCTGGGATGCATAACTTGCTTTCTACAGGATGACCATTGATTAAATATTATAGCATGCAAATATATCTCATGCAAACTTGAATCCATAATGGTTTGAAACAGTTTCCACAAGACCATTTTTTGGGAATACACGAAAGAATTTTATGGCACAAAAATTCTGGGGTTATACCCAAATAACCTACTGTTCAGTCTGCCATGTGGCTTCTTGGCGATGCTGATCTTGCTCCTAACAGTGCTAGGAAGCAAAGCCTCTGACAATGTGATAGCAGATGCTCTTCTGCAAGAGAATTGAGAGCATTCAGCAGAGCCTCGTGAGTCATTCCACCCAGGCAGAGCAAGAAAGAGGCAATTTGTGCTCTGATGGCATAGAACAAGGTGCCTACAACTACAGCAAGCTGTCCTTAAAGCTCTTGTGACTGAACATTTGGGAGTTTTTCTCCATGGTGCATTATGCTGCTTTGGTATGAAATTTATTCTGAATTTCTTAAAATTGATCAAAACTGACATTCTAGGAAGAAATACTCTGTCAATTCAGTGGAACCCAGAACTCTGTTTTGTTCTCTGAGGTAGCACAGATAAGGAATTTGTATGAATACACCAGTTGGAGAAGCATAGTGAATAGAGCAGATGGAAACCTTTAGAAATGGAGGCTTCTGCACCAGGACTGCTCCATTCTTACAAGGGGACGCCAAAGATCATGCCCAGGGGAAGTCTCCAGTTACACAGCGGCTCTGTCCCTGGCTTCCATCCCAGCAATAAAACACCAACATGAGACACTGCATATAGTCATTGGGACATTCAACACCTGTCCAGGAGCAAGGGGTCCAAAACTCACTAATGAAATGAGAACAAACTCCAACATGTTGCAGGTACCAACAGGTTGCCCTTAAGAGTTTTGCATACGGAGCGTAGAGCAACCCCATAATCATTGAACTTCCGCTTTTAGCTGACTTTTTTCAAAGCTGTTTTCACTTTCTGCCTAAACCTTCTTGCACAGCGCTATGGTTAACTATCCACACATCATAGATGATGTACTCTGACAGACATGAAGAAGAATTAAAGTGAAATGCATGCACTGTTTAAAATAAAATCATCTATGTCCTGAATAAGAAAAACAAAACAGATGGAATTGTGTCTTTGGTCATGCCTCAGAAGAGTTTCAAACTCTTCTAAAGTACTTAACTTAATAAAGAAAAAAACATTCAATATTCTAAATGCAATAAAGCCAAAAAACTAATTCTATAATCACATTGGAATTTGCTATCAATAGTTTCAATGCAAAGAATTCACTGATGAAATGAAATATGTATTATGGGAAATATATTGAGGGTAAATTATTGAAGCAAAAATGAGTATTGATTGGAATATCACTGAGCTGACACAGTGGCTTTGCATTATCATATCCTGTGTTAAAAGAAGGAGCTGGCAATGGGGCTGTGGCTACAAAGGGGGAAATCTCCTATCTAATCAGGTGAGGCATGTCTGCAGCCCCTTCAACAGGATGTTCAGTTTCTTAAAAATCCTCCGAAGCCAACAACTCCTTACAGACTGTTTCCTCTCTCATAGCATGAAAGAGGGGTGCACTTGGTGTAATTACTTGGTTAGCTCAGAGCCACAAGGAAAGGCAATAGTCTAGGGGTTGCTTTCTCAATGGAATGCTTCAACTTGACATCAACAGGAAAGCCCCATCAGTCTTAGATTTGGAAAGGCTGCAAACCTCCCCTCAACTGATTAGCGAGGGGAGGAGGGAAGAGAAGGGAAGGATTTACTCAATACCAAGGGAGCCGCATAAACAAGTGCCATGGGCCGTTTCCTGCAGGAAAGTGGAAAGATTAGTCTGGTTTATATTGAGATGAGGATAGAGCTTAACACAGGTTGCAGTTGATTAAACAAGAGTGAATCATTGCACTGGCCCACCTAGATTATCTTGGGTCATTTTTTTTTTCCATCATAGCAGAGAAACTTTGAGCTTTCAGTTAGCCCCTGACTGATGTAGTCCATGAAGAAGGTGAGATCCTAATAGAGTCGACAAAGACTTGGTCATAGTATTGTCACCTAACTGCCACGGTATTTCCCCTGGCTCTTTACTTTGAAAAATCATACACAAGATACTATTACAAATCCTAATTGTAAGCTTTTAAAATCACGCATTAGGAAGCCCAAGATCATTTTCAGGGTCTCAGAAGAAAAGCTGCTCTTGCCAAATGTCCGTGGGGACCTTTATTACTGGAAATGGGCATTTTGCCAGATGCAGCAGCAAAGCTTTATAAAAATAGACAAGATAAATGGACTTTTAGTGCAGTATTGTGCCAGACTTTTAATTTTCAGGAAATTATTTTTTTAACCTAGCTGAGAGTCAAGTCAATTTGTGAATTAGTTGAAAAGATGGCTGGAGTGAGGGGGTGGGGGAGAGGTGGCATCTGACATTTTTAAGTCAGAAAAGCCTGCCACACAAAACAGATTTCTCTTGGCAATCAAGATAACTTAACAACCATAAACACATTGTCAGAGGGAAAAGTTACATTTTGCTCTAACACAGATCATGTACAGATGACTGATTTTTCTTTCAAGTTCAAGCACAAAAAGGCTGTTTATATATCTCAACTTCTGACCCAGACGGGCATAACAATCTTAGAGGTCTGAATAGAGATGACGGAAGGGCTTTGCCTATTTCTCTGCTAAGGACACAGCATAATGACCATGGGCGTACATGCAGCCCAGATTTCTGAGAATCAGAATGAAGTTACTGTCACAGATCATTCATGATATGTGTTCTCTTTGTATTATACTCCACCCCACAATGAAAAAAAAATACAAAACCCGCCTGCTTGTAAATGTTTCTCTTTGGTTTCTTTGGAATATGGGGGTCTGTTATCCCGTATCCGAGGGATAAATTTAGGAAAATCACAAAAAGATGATGTGTGTGTATGTTCTTGGCATCGCTTCCTATAGCTTAAAGATGCGTTCTGAAAGGACCCTTAAAAGGGGACACGAGATTATTGAACTCATACTATAAACTACGCACACAGCATATAATTTTCAGAACAGCAGTCGAAGTAGATGCAATGGTTAATCCCATTTTATTGACATGGAGACTGAGCCTCAGACACTAAGAAGTTAACTAAGTCTACCAACTAGTAAATGGCACGACTGAAATTCTTTGAATTCCTATTGTCTTTTTCCGGTGTTGGGGGGTATTTGGTGCAGTGATTAAGCCTTCTGAGGTGCCCACATCTAACACTGGAGTGCCTGGTGTGAAGTCCCAGCTCCTGATCACACTTCCTATTTACGCAAACACCGGCAGGCATCAGATGATGACCCAAGTGCTTGGGTCCCTGCCATTCACAGGGAAGACAGGGATGGAGTTTTGGGCTCCAGGCTTTGACTTGGCCCCACTCTGACTGTTGTTCCGGGAGTAAACCAATTAGATGGAAGCTCCCCTCTCCCCCGACTCCTTTCCAAATAAAAGTTTTTAGAATGCCAGTGTTTCTAAAAGTGAGATTTGCAGTCTTGGGTCACAATCAGTAAGGAAGAGGGTGCCCAGTGAAATGAAGCCTATCCAGTCCCCACGCTTAACTGGACTGTGGTGAATAGGCATCCTCTGCCCTGCCCTCTGCACCAGCTGTTTCTGGGATTTAGATGTCTGGAACTCCAAGCAAGCACAGATGGAGGAGATAAAAGGAATAGAAAAGAATAAATCCTAGCTCAGTGCTCCTAGGACTGAAGTTACTTGAGCTGTGTTCTCTCCAGTTCACACTACAGCTCTGCACCAATCTACAAATCACTAATGAAGCAAAAATTCTATTTCTTCCCTGAGGAGAAAAAGGGAACGAAATTTTCTCATGAGTAGCTGGTGTCTGAAGAATGTGGCATTTCTGAAATATGAATTTCCAGGTAACTAATTGGAACCTAATGTGGATCTCCTGCTCATATGGGAGTCTTCCTTCTCATTCCTTTTATGCAGGGCTATAAAACTCAAAATAAAGTTATCCAGATTTCAGAGTGAAATATTTTTTTCCATTAGATTTTCAGATGAAAGTTAATTGTGGCAAAAAAGATTTTCACCTATTTTATATGATTCTGTTGGAAGATAATATATAATTGGCAAATAATTCTTCAATTCAAAGAATTATAAGATTGAGTGGAAATGTGATTATGTCTATTTGGGAAAAGAAATCTGTGAAATATTTGTGTTCATTTCCCTTTCTCTGAGCAGAATAAAACCTAAATCAAGCTCTGTCATGTTCTGGGAAAAGAGTTTCTAGAACTGGAAAATAGGGTT